TGGACCTCAAAGTGCATACAAAACCTGGTCTGGCTACTAGGGTAATAATACGGTGCATTGTGTAACGAGCGTTATGTACCACATGTTTTCTGATAAGCCTGGTCACGGTCGATGACTTGTTCGTTGTCTGACCTCTGACATGTAAACAATATGGCGGCGCCCATGAGTTTGGCGTAGTGTGACGATCTTCAACTTGTTGTTGAGATCTATATTATTTTAGTTACGTTTTATTCCTGGCTACGTCCCTGTTCATTACTATGTTTATAAGTTTGTGCTGGTTTATATCAGCTTGCTCTTGCTTTTACATTATAATTTCGAATAATCTTTACGGTGGGATATTTATCCTACAGGTATGATTTATAGTAGGAAAGGCACAGGCGTTCATTGTAGACTTGAGTAGTCGAGTCATCCGGGCTAGAGCGGCCACAGTCACGTATTAAGCATTTTATTAATGATATTCGATTTAATGATTATTTGTTATACCATGATAAGTGTTATAATTATTTAAAGGTGTATTAATTACCTGCAGTTTTAATATCTGAAGTCATAAACCATACATTGTTGTACAGGACATGCATAGCTGAATAATGAATTATATAATTTGATACTCACTATACTATAGTTAATTTTGAGATTAGTTGTTATCAATGATACTGATGTTTTATATGATCATTTACAGTTTTATTATTGTCTATGTAATGTTTCTTACAAATGGTATTCATTATTCGTTTTGTCATCAGACGTAGAGGTAGATGAAGATTAGTGAAGTTAAAACCACGAGACAGAAAACAATAAATGAATTAGAACCATGAACTTTGTTCGTCTGAGTCGTTTGTGTGACGTATTAAACCAGGTGAACCCCCAGAGTGTGTGAATTGGTTTTCCGCATTCTACATTCTTTAAAACATCAATATCAAATAAAAATTAAAACAAAAGCATGTAAATTTCTCAAATATAAAGAGACATTAGAGTACAATACTGCCCCACCATGACAAAAGGAAGCAATGATGTTTGCATTGCTTTGAGTAATTAAGGAATATGGAGCATGTTGATTTTGTCCCCTGCTTCCTTTCATGGTGGTTTTTACTGTATTTTTAGTCTCTTACTTCCTTTTTGTGTTGCTAATTACTTTTTAATGAGTGGGATTTGAACATACTCAAATATATCAATATGTACAAATTATTAGTTCTTTGATAGTGACTAAAAATCTCGAAAAATTGTCAGTTACTTCCTTTTGTCATGGTGGGGCAGAATAATACACACATCTGAATATAGAAGAACACAACAATAAACCAAAACGACCACAAAAATTTCCATTAGTAGCATCAACTTGAAGGAAACAAAATAAGACGAAAAATAGAGTTTACAGTACAACTAGGAAATGTATTTAAAATATAATTATAATCAATAAATGCAGAATTGTTTTCTTGCATTATTCTAACCTTCATATCATAATTTCCACATTGTATATGATACGCAACTATTCTAATTGCTTATTATTTTACAATATAATATTTTAATATATCATGTTCACCGATGTCCATTATAGTTCTCATTTCAACAAAATCTTTAACAAGAAATGCCGCTACATATCACAACACCCCGAATTTCCAACGAGAAACTATTCATTAGAACTTCGACTCCAAAAAACTTGTTTACACAAATAGATATAGTACGGTATGCATATACTGTAAACCAATAGCACGAAATTCGAGTTAACGGACGTTATAATATTAACAAACATTTTTTTTCCATGTACAGTATTCCTACTTGACTAAACACCAACAGCTTACCTAAAAACATTAAAATCTACTGAAATCGTACATTCATAATAATAATAATAATAATAATAATAATAATAATAATAATAATAATAATAATAATAATAATAATAATAATAATAATAATAATAGTTTTATATAGTGCCGTATCCATCTAATATAAGATGCTCAGGACGCTTGATTTGTGGACTAGGAACTCGATCAATGACTTCCTTCTCTCCTAAGGATATTCCTTCGTGTCTGTGCTACCCGGTTAACTCGGTACTATCAACTCTCGTCGTCCACCACTTATGTTTGCTGCTGGAGCCTATTTTTCCTAAGGTCGGTACAAGGTGTTGTGATATGGCCTAATTAAGTATCTTATTGTTTTCGTTAAATTAGAGTTTAAATGTGGTTATATTACGCTAGTTTGAAGGTTTACTGTAAGTCAGTCAGTTACACTTACTATACATCTTCGTGGTTAGCATAAAGAGAACTAGAACGTCGCTCCATTATTCCTTCGTGTCTGTGCTACCCGGTTAACTCGGTACTATCAACTCTCGTCGTCCACCACTTATATTTGCTGCTGGAGCCTATTTTTCCTAAGGTCGGTACAAGGTGTTGTGATATGGCCTAATTAAGTATCTTAGAGTTTAAATGTGGTTATATTACGCTAGTTTGAAGGTTTACTGTAAACGAATCAGTTACACTTACTATACATCTTCGTGGTTAGCATAAAGAGAACTAGAACGTCGCTCCATTAAGAGTGCCTACCCCCCCCCCCCCCCCATATACATAAACAGAATTCACGAATGCAGGCGATTTTTTCTTCATGCTCGAGGGTGGGTTTACAGACGCACGTATACAGCTGACGTCAATCAGCATTTGGTTGCTCAACTCAAAAAGAGAACTAGTAATGTTCGTTAGAAAATGGAAAAAAAGCTATATTTTTATAATAATAATAATAATAATAATAATAATAATAATAATAATAATAATAGGCGTTAGTAAAAATGTTTGTCACTGGTGCTGGGAACAGTCACAAAATTGGGGGCCAGCCCCCCCCCCCCCAGTATAAAAAGTGGGTGGGCCAAAAAAAGAAAATTATATTCAAATTTAAGTATAAGACAGCCATTTCCGGCCATCTGGAGGTGCTATAATCAAAATTGTTCTTACCTCAGGTAATATCGACCCGCCATCTGTGAAAGTCCCTATCTGGGTCCCTCTCTATTTCAAAATCCTGGATCCGCCACTGGATTATGGAAAAACAATGAATACCGGTACATAACCCAATCGACCCACCCACGAATTCAGGCAGCACTCAAGAAAACAATGTGCCTGTTTTTTTTTAGGGTATTCTGCAGTACTAAAGTAAATAATGTGCCTGAATACGACTGGCAATTCCATTATTTCACTGCAGTTTCGCTCATTATACAAGTCCTGCGTCATGTTGGTACTTTATTTAGGACTGCTCTAGTTATTAATGTAAAACCACCACGTCTCACATGAAATTGAGTTTTTTTGAAGCGTTAAAACAGATTTAGATAGGAACATGTTCCCGGGACATGTCTAAAAATGAATAGCTAAATGCATGTGAGATTTCAGTAAAGCTACAAAATAATATAATAAAAAAAATATAGTGCTTTTGTTAAGAATGTAGGACTTGATTTTCAAAACTCAGCAAGGGGAAGGTTGACAGCAACAAGACAGCGCCAAGTGTCTTATGGCCCTCGATTAATCTTAAAAGGTTTATGTCCCAGACGAAAAGCCACTGAAAAAACACAAAAAAAACAAAATTATGCTACATTGTACTTTTTGGCGGCCATTTTTTATTTGAGCCAGAGTTCTTGTATTGAATTCTAATACTGAATAACATGCTGTATTGTAATTGCCTTCGTTAAAGCCTGCCAACCATGAACTGCTCATTGATTAGTGTAATTGATATAAAAATTAATTATCATATCAATATGCTGGTCGTTGTTTGTGCAGTACAGTGAGTAGTTAGAAATACAAGATCATTTTCATTTGCATTATCCAATGTACCAAGAGACATAAAAAGACGTTGTTTTTATGTAAGTTTAATAATAATAATAATTTGCAATTTGTATAATGCCTCTCGTATCAGTTTAGGGGTATAACTTAGGTAAACACTAACGTGCTTAGCTTAGTGATGAATACCTTACCTTAGTAAATGAGATCAAAAAGCATTAGGGGCTCCCTCTTATTACGTTTATTTTGTATTTTTATATTTGATTTTAATAGTTTCACGGTTCATCTAATTACGTACCAGTCTTTAAATATTTTGAACTTGTTACAATTATGTTTTGGTGTCTCATTAACCTTATCACACTCAACAGATGGCTTGTTAGTCGTAGTTATTGATGTATTATTTATCATTCATCATGGTGAATAATTTTACTGCTGTCATGAATTACTACTTCATACTATCTAGGTTCATAGACAGTCTTAATGGGCAGTGGCGTAGAAAAATATTTTTCATTGGGAGGTGGGGATGATTGGCGTATTAGCCAGTGTCGTAACAGGCGCGGGGGTGGGGGAGTGGGCAGGGGAAAACTGCCCCTCCCCTGACGGTTTTTACCGGGCTGACCAAGACGTCGTACCGGGCTGGGTAATAAGAGAAAAAAAAAGAGGGGAGAGGGAGGGAAAGAGAAAGAAGAGGAAAAGAAAAGGAAAGAAAAAGAAAAAGAGAAAAATAAAGACAAGAATAAAAAGGAAGATATCATAATGACCAGACTCACAACACCCTGCAACCCCTTCTCCACTTCAAAAACTGTCATAACTCCTTTTATCATGCTGCCCGATGGCGTAACCACTGGGGGACAAGGGGAAAATATTTATCTTTGAAAAATCTTCCCCACCCCTTTATAAATGCCCTTTTCATCCCCTGAAAATGCCTAAAAACCTTAAATTTCGCGCGCATTTCTTGTTAACATGGGCCAATTTTCTCTACAAATTGCACATTTTAGGTAGTTTTGATCAATTCCAACGAAATTAGAATTAAAACACCGGGGGACAAGAGGAAAATATCCATCTTTGGAAAATCTTTCCCCACCCCTTGACAAATTCTTGTTACGGTAGGCAAATTTCCTCTATAAATTGCACATTTTAGGGAGTTTTCATCAATTCCGAAATTAGAATTAAAAACACAAAAAATATTTTGCGTTTTTAGGGCTATTTTAGGTTTATTCTTTCAAGTTATTTAAACACATAGTAGTCCCAAACTCAAGAAAGACAAATTTAAGATAGATTGTTTTAACCTAAAAGAAGGGCCTCGTGTATTGATGGTGAAATAATATGTTTGTAATAAATCAAGCCATGATGAAAAGGGTGTCTAGAAAACTAAGACCTAAGATACTGTATCTAGGTTTTCTAGATCTAGAAAACTAAGATATCTTGGGTCTTAGTTTTCTAGATCTTAGTTTTCTAGACACCCTCATGAAAATGCTTATATCTAGTTTCAAACACACGTGTGTGGCCTATATTATAAATAAGATAAGCCCTATGTCGTATTGTTTTTCATATGGGGAGTGGCGTGGGGTGGGTATGGTAAATTACTAACTGGAAAAATAAATACCCACTCTGACCCAAGACGCCTGTTACGCGCCTGGTGTTAGCGCCAATGTGTGCCCTTGTGCGGACAGGGGATGTCGCCCCCTCTGAAGCTGGAAACCTTGTTTTTGCAAAATAAATTAATGCAATTTGATTTTATAGGCCTAGTCAATTATAAAATTCCTCATCAACCGATATAACCTTAAACATTCTTGGAATTGACATAACATTACTGATGTCGTACACACCCTTCAGTGTGAAATGTGGCTCTCTTTGCAAGCACATCTAACATCTAAGGAAAGAAGAGCTTAGATTGTTACCAGATAAAATAATTTTGTTATCAAAATTAATACATTATGCTAATTTTCATCTTTGTAAGCGCATAAGGCACTGCAAATTATTTCTGTGACAGTCTTTTGAAGTGTGTAAAGCTCCATTTTATCCCATACATAGTCAAAATATTGGGGAGATGTGTATAAGAGAGGGGGGTGATACAATAGACCATCTCCCCTTGTCAAATATTGGGGGATATATCCCCCCCATCCCCCGAGATCTACGCCTATGTTAATGGGACATTTTATCCATTTATCTTCTTTTTTTGGCTCTTGTATTTCCAAATTTAACACTGTCATTCACACTATGTTCTGAGATATGTTGGGACATTTTGTAGTGATAATTTACAGTAGTACGCAGAGCTTACTCTCTTAAGAAGCAGTTGGGGATATGTCTGTAGTTGGCTGACGGGTAGTCAGAACGCTATTGACGTTTAATGTCAATACCGTTCTATATCGTCAATACAGTATAGACCGCTATTGATGTTTAATGTCGCACTCATCCATTACGTTATTATTGATAACGTGACCAAGGTAATAATAGGTTAGCTAATCTATGTTTCATAGACAGGTTTGGCTTGACATTAGCCTCGGAAATCGCTTATAAGGTGGGTTCACGTTGAACTATGGCTAGATAAATTCGGCGGCTCATCTACATGATCTAATTATATGTTTCCATGTAAACGCTTAAGTATGTCTAGATGAAGGCAAATAAGAATTGGACAGAGCAGGCATAATGCTTAATAGCTAAAATGATGTAATTGCACACAATTCCTGAAATTATGTATAGAATTTCTAAGATACTCGTCAAATGGTGATTTTGAAACACTTTCAATAAATAATTGAGAAATAATTGGAAGTATTTGTTTTTCGGGTCTCCAGTCTTCGTTTTGTAGACACCCATATAGGATGTCTATAAAACGAAGACCCTTGAAAATTTCACAAACAGACGCCCAAAAAATTTCTTAATTTTGATTTTTTTTTTTGTTTTATCTTCCTGAGGTTCCCGTTAGTGTAGTCAGTGCATCTCTCATTCATCCTCAAACCGTTAACAAATTATTGACATAAATTTCAAACACATAAGGCATCTTTAAGTGATAACCTCAGTAATCAAGTTCTAGAACTTTGTTCTCTTCCATTTTCCGTCCCCATCTCCAATCTTTTTAATAAATCACTTCAAACTGGGCAGTTTCTTTCTCTCTGAAAACATTCAAATGCTACTCCTATTCACTAATGGGGGACAAAGAAATTGATTTCCAATTATAGGCCAATCCTGATGCTACCAACCATCTCCAAAATATTTGAAACGATTATTTGTGATCACATTTGGACTCACGTTTATCCTGCCATTGTTTTCTGTCAACATGATTTTGTGACCGGTAGATCATGCAAACCAAATCTTGCTAGTCTTCTGACTACGGTCTTTGAAGCCATTGATGACAAGAAGGAAAGTGATGTAATTTATACTGATTTCTCTAAGGCTTTGATTTAGTTCCACATAATTTACTATTGCTAAGATTATAACGTTTTCCAAATAGCTTCTTAAATGGTAGTTTGCAGCGAGTGGTCACTGACGGTGTTGCATCAAAATTCGATTTTAGAATGTTTCAAATATTTCCGGCCGCATATCTCACAATCTGTTGTCCCGATTTTACTCCAAATTAGGTCTACAAATGACATGTGAATGATAACAAAATTTTATTCAAAAAATAGTATTCTATAAAAGCACTAATATTAAAAAGTTAACTGAAAGTAACTTAAAAGTAGAAAAAATAAAAACAAACAAGTAAGAGATTCAAACCCCAAACAGTCGAGTATGAACCTTTCCCGTATTTCGTTTGAAAGGCAAATGGGAAAAACCCATAAAACAGCAAACGGCCACATAATGCAAAACAATAAAAATAAAATTAAGCCTCTTTTACACTAGGCGAATTTATTCGCGCGAATTGAAAGCGTCGGTTGATGCACATACGCATTCACATCCCTATCGGAGTTTTTGCGAAGCGGCGTAAAAATGCGCAACAAATGAGGGTTCAGGAAGCGAACCGACGCTTCGATTCGCTCGAATAAATTCTCCTAGTGGAAAACAGGCGACACCAAAGATTCCAGTCAGACGTGCAGTGCGAGATCAGCAAGCTTCATATCCTGGTACACATTATAATCCCCTAATCATTCTAAACCGGCGTAACGTGTTCGGATCACGTATTACACCCAGTATAATTAAGATAAAATAGGATACAATCTTTATTAATCCCGTTTGGGAAATTTTACTACACCCTGGGTCGTTTATTGTTAAGGGTTATTGAGGGAGACTTTTATTCTAGGGAGGCGTTTATTTTATTTCATTAATTGGACATTGTTTTTATTTTTGTAAAATTGAAAAAAAAAAGTATTACTCAAATAAACGCGCTTATCTTCACTTTAAATGTGGGACTACAACATAAAATGTGTTGTTGCATGATTATAAATATTAATTGATCCCAACCATGTTAGAAACAATGTAATTCATTATTATGTGTGTTGAGAATGATTGCTTCTATTTTTGTACTGTCATTTAGGGAAGGGGGCATTTATTAGTGGAATTACATGGGACATTGTGAGCTTTCTTTTCTTCTCTTTTTGTAGGTAAAATTTAGGCAAATTTATAATCTCTTCTTTTGTCTCCTTTCTTTTGCTTTTCTTTTTCTTTTTTTTCTGTTTGGGAGTTGTCCCTTTCTTTCATTTATTAAGAATGTTATCCTAGAGAGTTTACTAATTTCTAAATGTTTCCTTTTATAATTGTTGTGATATTTTTATTGAATAAAAGTGATTTAAATAAATGCAATAATAATAATAATTAAAATGTGAATACATTTTACTTTAATTGACGAATTCATGAATGTGAATAATGATCATCTTACTTTTACCAATATCAACTACTTTTTTACTTCATTTCCTCTCTAGATATAGGCCTAATAGCTGCAATCGTAATAAGAGAGTAATAACTAACAAGATGAATTCAGCAGATTCAACGGACGATTCGCATTACGATTTGACTTCAGACGCCTTCAAACATGATCACTCAATTGACCCAAAATTCGACTTAATTTCTCGGTGTTTTGATTACCAATTCAGACTGTCTCGATCAGCAATAATTAATAAATGAAAAGAGTGCCTCGCTAATGTTATATAATGGACGCCTCACTTCTCAGCACTCGACCAAATATGCCTCCTATCACCAGATCAGACAAATTCAAATTGTAAATATTTATAGGTCCTATTTATTTATTCAACATTTAGTTTTAATAAGTTGTTAATAATGTTCAATGTACAAGTTGCACACAATTTGCTTGTTTAACGTAAGAAAGTACACCATTGGTACGTGAACCCTATAGTTCAGGAAGTGGCTATGAAAAAAAAAAAAATTATATATATATATAAAATTATACAAAGCAATATTGTAAATTAAATAAATGTGGGTATATAAAAGTATTGAAAGCCACTTCCTGTTCTTGATTTTAGTTATGCCTTATGTTTAGCTTATCCATTAACCATGGATGAATTAATTCCCCCAAGCATTAACTTTAGTAATGCTTTCCCACAGTCCACCACTTGCTCATTCATTGTTCACCCTTATCACTGTTTATTTGTAAATTATCATTAATCCTTTATAGACGTATGCCGACTTGCTTTGACTAAATTACTGTATTGTTTCTCAAATTGTATATTGCTAAGATAGTTTCTCAATAATTATGTTCATTTTATGTCAAGCGTTGACAAAGACTACAGGAGTAGCCGAAATATTCGCCTAATAAATTTTAGTGTTTCTAAAGTCAAC